CACAAACAACTTAAACAATCAATACAAGCTATAGGAATCAATTCCATACGATAAAGCTAAGTTCTTTAACCAAAGTCAAAAAGTCAACCCAAAACGTTAACCCCGGGACCACGTCTCGGAATTTGATAAAATTTAAAAAAATCCGAATACCAATTCAATAACGAGTTCAACCATACAAAAATTACTCAATTCCGATATCAAATCGACCTTCAAATCCTCAAATTATAGTCCATGAAGTTTCACAAATGTTTCCCAATTTTTCCAACACAAAACACGAATTAAATGGTAAAACTAATGAAAGATTCATGTATAATAACCAAATCCGAGTTAGAATCACTTACCCTAATCAACTCCTTGAAAATCCCTTCAAGAATCACCCAAAACCGAGGTCTCTAGCTCAAAATATGAAAAATGTGTCCAAACCCTCTATTTTGAGATTTAATATATGCTGCCCAGATGTCCTTCTTCGCGAACATGGAAAGAGCCTCGCATTCACGAAGAACAAATCCTCCACTGCCAAAAGTTCCTCTTACGCGAACGCGATGACCAAACGACCCCAAGCTTCATGAACGCGTAAGCTAATACATGAAGTCCCCTTAGCCTACCTCTCTTCTTCGCGAACGCGGCTCCCTGCTAGCAATCGCGATGCACAGCCTCACCAATCCTTCGCGAACGCGGCCCCCTCTACATGAACGCGAAAGGCAAAAACCTCCTGCAGTATATTTTCACTATGCGAATGCGACCCCTGTGTCGCGAACGCGAATAATCCCACACTAGATATCATATCAGTTGCTCAAACATGAAGAACATAGTCTGAAACTTATCCGAAATACCCCTGGGGCCCCTGGGACCCCATCCAAACATACAAAGACATCCTAAAACATCATACAAACTTAGTTGAATCCTGAAATCACATCAAACAACATCGAAAACACAAAGCGCACCCCAATTCAAGCCTAATAAACTATTGAACTTTCAACTTCTAAAACCAATGTCGAAACACACCAAATCAACTCTGATTCCTCAAATTTTGCACACAAGTCACAAATGACAGAACGGACCTATTACAACTTCCGAAACCTAAATCCGAGCCCGTTAACCATAAAGTCAACTCTCGATCAAACTTCTCAACTCTCCAAACTCCAACTTTTTCAGCTTTCGCCATTTCAAGCCAAAATCACCTACAGACCTCCAAACAGGGGCGGAGCTATGATAGAGGGTGCGGGTTCGGAAGAACCCAGTGAATTTTTTTGAGACCCTGTATTTGTATTGAAAATTTTACTGATTCTATATAAATATATCATGCCGAACCTAGTAACAAAAGGGCTCTAGGTTCAATGGTAAGAGTTCTGGGTTCGCTTGGAGGAGGCACGGGTTCGAATCACGTTGAAAGCAGTGAGCTATTTTGTTGTTTTTTACAATTTTTCTTTTTAAGAAAGCACAAATTAAACGATATCGTAATTCCAAAATAACTCCAAAGTCCAAACGACACTTTTCCTTCCTTTAAACTAATATTTATACTTTTTAATAAATAAAACACAAAACCTTTTTTTTCTTTCTAATAAACAAATCCTTCTCTAAACAAAAACACGTCTTCTCATCTTCTCAATCCCAAATCAAAAACGCTAGGGTTCTGCCTCTGTTGATCGTTGGCGCTGCCACCATAATCGATAGGATCCAGACACCTTTCAACTCTCACTGTGTATCAATGTATGCTCTTTCTCCCTTAGAAGTTAGGCCCTTCTTCCTTCTTCAATTCTTCTTTCCTGATTTTTTTCTTTCATGTTTTCCTCTTATATTTTATATTTGATAATTTATACAAAATATTATTTTTAATTTTTGATTCTAGTGTTGTCCCACATTTTGAACTTCATTCTCTTTGTCAATTTGTGCTTTGGTTCTTTTCAAAAGTTTAAACTTGGAGTCTCTGATAAGCCGGCAGACAAAGTATGTGGTTGTTGTCCTACTTTCTTATTTTTAGTTTCTTAGTGAGACCATTTTGCATTCACATGGAGTGGCCTTATACCCTTATTAAGAAGAAAACTTTCATATGTAGTCAGGGCGGAGCTACAGTAGAAGAAAACCTGGTGACCTTTTCCAAGACCCTATATATATAATTTAGAACCCATACACTTCAAATACTAGCTCGCATCGGCCTCCAAATCAATATCCAGATACACTCTTAAGTCCAAAATCACCATACGAAGCTATCGGAACCATCAAAACTCCATTCCGAATTCATTTACACATAAGTCAATATCCGGTTAACTCTTTCAACCTTGGGACTAAGTGTCCCAATTCATTCTGAAACATCTTCGGAACCAAACCAACCACCCCAGCAAGTCATATAACAACAAACGAACATAAAATAAGAAATAAATGGGGGAGCGGGGCTACAATACTCAAAACAACCGGCCAGGTCATTACATTCCCCCCTCTTAAACAGACGTTCATCCTCGAACAGGTCTAGAATCATACCTGGAGTCTCAAATTGGTGTGGATAGCTGCTCCACATCTCCCGTTCGGTCTCCCAAGTAGCCTCCTCAGCCGGCTGACCTCTCCACTGCACCTTCATTGAAGTTATATTTTTTGACCTCAACTTTCGAACCTGCCGATCCAAAATGGCCATTGGCTCCACATCATAAGTCAAATCCCCATCTAACTGAACCGTACTGAAGTTCAAAACATGATACGGATCACCGAAATACATCCGGAGCATGGAAACATGAAACACTGGATGAACACTCGATAGACTAAGTGGCAATGCAAGCATGTAAGCCACTTCTCCAATCCTCTCAAGCACCTCAAAAGGGCCAATATACCGAGGGCTCAACTTGCCCTTCTTCTCGAACCTCATAGCACACTTCATGGGTGACACGCTGAGCAATAATTTCTCTCCCACCATGTACGCAACATCACTAACCTTCCGATAAGCGTAACTCTTCTGTCTAAATTGTACCTTATGAAGCCGATCCTGAATCAACTTAACCTTTTCCAAAGCATCCTGAACCAAGTCAATACCTAATAGCCTAGCCTCACCCGGCTCAAACCAACCAACTGGAGACCGACACTGCTTCCCATACAAGGCCTCATACGGAGCCATCTGAATACTCGATTGGTAGCTGTTGTTGTAGGAAAACTCTACAATCGGTAGAAACCGATCCCAAGAACCCCCGAAATCCATGACACAAGCGTGTAGCATATCCTTCAATATCTGAATGGTGCGCTCGGACTGTCCGTCCATCTGAGGGTAGAATGTTGTACTCAACTCAACCCTTGTGCCTAACTCTCGTTGCACTACTCTCCAAAACTACGATGTGAATTGTGTGCCCCGGTCTAAAATAATGGACACCGGCACACCGTGAAGGCGAACAATCTCGCGAATATAGATCTCAGCCAACCGCTATAAAGAATAGGTAGTCCCAACTGGAATGAAATATGCGGACTTAGTCAACTGCTCCACAATCACCCAAATAGCATCAAATTATTTCAAAGACTGTAGGAGCCCAACTATGAAGTCTATGGTGACACACTCATATTTCCACTCAGGAATCTCAAGACTCTGAAGCAAATTGCATGGTCTCTGATGCTCGTACTTCACCTGCTGACAATTCAAACATTGAGCTACGAACTCCACTATGTCTTTCTTCATTGTCCTTCACCAATAGTGCTGCGTCAAGTCCTGATACATCTTTGCGGCACCTGGATGAATGTAATACCGCAAACGGTGGGCCTTCTCAAAAATCAACTCACGTAACTCATCCACATTGGGCACACAAATCCGACCATGCATCCGCATCACCCCATCATCCCCAATAGAAATCTCCTTGGTATCACCGTGCTGAACCGTGTCCTTAAGGACAAGCAAATGGGCGTCTTCATATTGACGCTCTATGATGCGATCATATAAGGAATACCGAGAAACCACACAAGATATAACCCGACTAGGCTCCGAAACCTCCAACCTCACAAACTAATTGGCCAAGGCCTAGACATTTGATGTAAGTAGTCTCTCACCAACAGGAATATATGCAAGTCTACCCATGCTCACCGCCTTCCTACTCAAGGCATCAGTCACTACATTTTCCTTCCCGAAATGATACAAAATGGTAATATCATAGTCTTTTAACAGCTCTAACCATCTCTGTTGCCTCAAATTTAGATCTTTTTGTTTGAACAAATGTTGAAGACTCCCATGATCTGTAAATACCTTACAAGACACACCGTAGAGATAATGCCTCCAAATCTTCAATGCATAAACGATGGCTGCCAACTCCAAATCATGAACAGGGTATTTCTTCTCATGAGGCTTCAACTGGAGTGAAGCATAAGCAATCACTCTACCCTCCTACATCAAGACACACCCAATACCAATCCGAGAAGCATTACAATACACTATATAATAACCCGATGCTGAAGGCAAAACCAGAACTGGAGTTGTGGTCAAGCCAGACTTGAGCTTCCGAAAGCTCTTCTCACACTCATCAGATCACCTAAATGGAGCACCATTTTGATTCCTTGGTCCTTGGTCAATGAGTTGTTCTTGATTGTGCAACTTTTGATTCAATCTTTCAATATAAGTACATTGGTTACTCTGCTCTATTCAAAAACTCTTGGTCTGATGATTTTGAGGTCTCGTTTGACCAGGCTAAGAAGTGCATTGCTAAATCTTCTTCTGACTCCTAACCAAACTAATTAATGCCCAGTGATATAAATTTTGAAAATTGTGTTCTTGCTCATATAGTTGCTACCACTATTCCCCCTAAAACAATATCCTTAAGTAGTGGGTTCTTTCTAGGTAGAGGGGTAAAATGGAAGGTCAGTGTGGAAATTTTATCTTGGGTAATGTGAGAATTAATAACTCAAAAAATTATATCATTGATGTGCATTAACTATAATACAAGTACCCCTATTTATAACTATACACAATACCTATAATACTTCTATTCCAAGTAGGACTATGCTTATTTACATAACAACTAACTAGCACTCCTCCTTAAGACGGTGCATATATTTTCTACTCTATCTCAAAGAGACACCTTTTTAGTCTACTGCCTTTTTACCAAGAACAAAGCGAAAGATAAGGGCACGGAAGATATGCCTGAGTGCATCAAACAACTCTTGGAGGAGAACAAAGGCAGCATACCAGATGAGTTGCCTATCCGTCTACCACCGAGGCGGTAGATAGACCATCAAAATGAGTTGGAAAGAAAACTGTCCTCTTGGGTAATCAATTTCATGATTGAGAATGTTGATGACCTCTCAATTATTCCTTATCTGTATGGTAATCACTCGTCTTCTTGAAGTACACAACATATCTTTCTTAAACTTTTCCTGTCTCACCATCACTAAGTGTTACAACTCTAGAGCTTTTGCTAGCATAAGCTATGTTGTTATCGATGGGTTCTGGGTAAAGAAACAAGAATATGAACCTAAAGTTGTCCCGTCCAGTTCCAAAGTTAATTTTTGTCTCATTCGGCCTAGTATGCATGGCCCAGACCTCTTGGAAAACTTATCCAGTATTGATGAAAAACTGTCTGTCATCAAAGATTTGCTCTCCACCACTCAGACCACTGTTGGCTAAATCCACGACATTCAAAAGAGATGGAATTTGACGTGTCCAAGGTTTTTGTCATGCTTCAAAAGATTGCAGAAGATGTTGTGGGAGCTTTCAAAGAGGTCCACGATCGAATTGATGGAATTTATGTCACTATGAATGCTAGCTTCTATCGTCTTAAAGATGACATCTGCAATATTTTAACCTATTTTCTGTGTCACTAGTATGTCTTGATTTGGTGTTTCAAACAATTATTTTTGGACGGGTGATCCAGTCAACTACATGTAATATTTAGGACAATTATCTGAATATTGCTGCAGGAACTAGTTAAACTAGTTAAATATTATTGCTATTTGTTATTTTATCTGTGATTTCTCTATGCTTTTTGATTGATGCCAAAAAGGGGAGAAAATAATAGCTATTTTGTTATAGCTAGCAGGAGTTCACTAACTAAGGGGGAGCAGCCAAAGTGGACTGACTCAAGAAGAGCTACCAAAAGAAGAGACTAGCTCTCTTGTGCTAACTCAGAGGGAGCAGCCAAAGTCAACTGACTCAAGAAGAGCTACCAAAGTCGACAAGTCGACTATATCAAGAAGATCTACCAAAGTCGACTACTCTTGAGTAACTAATTCAAGGGGAGTAACCAAATTTGACTGCACTTCAGAGAAGTTGACAGGAGTTCTAAAACAGGGAAGTTGAATTGCTTCTATGCTATTCTTATGTTATTTTGTCATAAAAAAAAAGGGGGAAGATTATTATATCTTTGTTTCAATGATAAAAAATAACATTATCTTGTAGGAATCCAAAATAAAAAGAAGATTCAACGCAAGAAAGCAAGGCGGAAAGAAGGAAACGGATAGCATCAATCAAGTGAAGAAGGAAAAGGGAAGCATCAGTTAAGTGAAGGGAGACCAAATTCGTGCAGATTTTTACGGGATAAGAAGATCTTCAATCAGCAGTCAATCAGCAAAATCATCTCCAGAAGAAAAGAAACAAGACTTTATCAAGAAGTCAATCAAATCTGAAGATCCGCATGAATACCAATCACATGCTTGATTGGAAAGCAATCAATCTTCACGCGTGTATCAAGGGTCAGTTGGTATTAAGCTCCATCCTTATTCTTGGAAGGAATCATTCGAGATTCACTCCAAGGATCAATTCTTTTGAGTTGCCAATATCTCATCAATCAAGTCCATTGTCACAATCTATAGTCGAAGATCCGGAAGGAGAATATATACTTTTGTATGACCAACTTCGAGCTCTTTGTTATACTCTAAACAAGTATTGTAATGTCGATTTGATTTACTGTGTAATTACTGGAGAGAAGAAAGAGAGAAAAATAGTGGTGAGATATTGTATCAAAAAAATTGAGAATTTACTTAGTTTAAGAAAGCACTTGGTGTGTTCTTAACTCATATACACAAGTGTACAAAGAATTTCAAGGAGTTTCGAGAACTCTCTTTCAACCCAAGGGGACTGGATTAGGATTTACATTGAATCTGAACCAATATAAAAATATCCGATGTCATTTAGTTTTCTGCACTTTACATTCTGCACTTACTATTTAATTTTGATCGAACCTCTAGTCTACTAATTGATAAACTAGTCGACTATCAAGCTAAAACAAAAAAGGGCTACAATTCAACCCCCCTCTTATACTTTCACAGTAGGCCCAAACTCACTTCTTGTGGACCTTGGAACTTCAAACAATCGTGATAGGCCCGTGATAATGCCTTGGGGCTTGTTTAAATCTTAAATATAGGCCCACCTGACTAGTTATCCCAACTTAACACCACGTATCCCCAATTCAAATGAAACTCATCAACTAAACACTTGAGCATAATAGTACTGGTGAATCACGACTGGTCATTGTCTAATTCTAAATATATAACCATTAATTAGAAAAACAAATAGCTAAGCAATGTATTGTTTCAGAAATCCTAATTAACAAACTTAATACTAACATGTAAATTAAGTTCAACAGCTAAACGATCATGATGAATTGAAACTCTGATAAATTAATTAGCTAATTAGAGGAAATCGATGATTGAACATAGAAAAACCTGACATACAATTCAGAGATAAAAAATTATTTCAATATGTAAAAAAAGGGAAGAGAAAGGATTGGATTTTATCTAAAACAATCGTAGCTAACCGAATAAGATCAAGTTCTGACTAGCAGGGGTCATGTTCACATAAGCACTGCTCGGATTTCAAAATACAACCAATGCTACAAGTGAACATGGCCATTGAGAGCCGGAAAACTAAATTAAATGGATAGTTCCATGGATTCTGGCTGGTCAACGGTGAGTTTTTGCAAAAGTGAGGCCAAACCTGACGAAGGTTGCCTACGTATCTCGCCGAATTGTGAGAATTAGACCCATGTAATTCGATCAGTTTCCGCCCACACGAATCTTTTTTTGAAAATCTCTATCTACTTTTCAATACCTTTTGAGGAAAAATTTGACACACTTTGATTTTTCGACACAAGAATTTCATGAAAACCGGGTGAATTTTACTCACTTATTTTTCTTCTTTTCTTCCCGTTATTCAAGATAGCTAGTCAATATGCAAGTCCACTAAATAATGTACAAGTAGCACGTAAGATGCACTTTATGGTCTTTAAAAATAGGTACACATGCTCCAGACAGATCCAACTCCTATGCTGAGTTCCCAAAAATCAAATACATGTGATGCAGACAAGCAATCCTACTAGGGATCTGGCATGTGGTTTGTTTTTCTAGGTTTAAATTTTAAAGGGAAAGGTGTCTAGAGTTACTAACTCGAGCCGAGGGGCGACGTACCGGGAGCATAGAAGTCTACCCGACTTTGTAACTGATCTGATCCTGTCCTAAATGTCTGTGACTTTTCTAACAGAAAAGGGGTACGCATACGTGCGCCCCAATAGATTTAGAAGACTAATAGGGGGAAGCGTAAGAAGACAATTTATATAATTCATGTAATATCAAAGCAGTAAGTGAGCGGCAATTAGTACATTAGTCCCAAGAACATAATAATACGCAAACGGTAAAAGCCAAGTATAAATTACACTACAAGCTTGAATTCTGAACCCTGAACCAAAGATTTTGTGTTCGATCCGCAATGGAATCATCAAAGCTGTCACACCTCCTTTTTTTGGGACTGAAAGGAGTTCTTTCAATTGAAGTGACATTATTTGAGAAAGATTTATTTTATTATTTTTAAGGAGCCGCCACTTGGAATTAGGTAATTTTGGTGTTTCATGTCACCAATTTATTAATCCCTAATCAAGGAAAGTTTTGACACCAGATATGGTCTCAAACACATAATACTGTGTAAGGAATTCTATTGATCGGGAGAAGGTGTAAGGAACTCCCCGAGAACCTTGGTTCTAACATGACCGCTTAATAAATTTACACTTAGCTTAAACTAACTCAGAATATTTTATGTCTTAAGGATTTTATGAATTTTTGCCATTACTCCGCTTTTGTTTTGCTTTATTTATTGAGTTATAGAATTTACCTTGAACAGGTCACGCATACGTGCACTTGTCGTGTTTGTGTGGTAAAGATCATGTTACGTGTACATATTCATGATTAATAACACTTATTATTATTATTAAAAGAATTAATTTATAAAGTCGCGCGAAAGCACAGTTGGATTTTTTATTTTATGGATTATAGCTATGTTGTACGAACGTGCACATAGCAACGATAGTTGATTTAATTTAATCGCACTTAAAATCATACTAGCGTGTTTATGAGTTATTTTGTAACGACTCGACCAGTCGTTTTGAGCTATAGCATGTCATTCGGTGGTTTGAACCTCGAGTAGCTTCACATTATTCATTATGACTCGTGTATGTGATTGGTTTTGATTTTCGAGACGTTCAGAGTTGATTCGGAAGAATTATTTTGAATTCGGAAGCTTTAAGTTGGGAGAGTTAACTAATGTTTGACTTTTGAGTAAACAACCTCGAAATCGGGATTTAAAGATTCCAATAGGTTCGTAAGGTGATTTTAGACTTGTGTGTATGTTCGGGTTGAGTATCGGGTAGTCCGGGAGCAATTCGGCGCTTATTGTCCAAAATTTGCATTTTGAAGGTCTTTGAATTTGCTAAGTTTGAATTGGAGTGAACTTTATTGTTATCGGATTCCAATTGGTATTCCAAGCCTTGGTACAGGTTCGTGTTGTCATATTGGACTTGTGTGTGAAATATGGTTCCATTCCGAGGTGTTTAAGAGTGATTCGGATACTTGAGTTGCATACTAGTTATGTTTCCGAAAATGAGTTGACCAAGGTCAAATAGTGGACTTAACGATCTCAGATTCATGATTTAAAATTTTCAACAGATTTGTATGATGATTTTGAACTTGTTCGCAAGTTTTGGTTATGTTCCGATGAGTTTCGGATGGGTTTGGGTTGTGTCGCGCTTTTATTTGATGTTTCGGCGTCATTTCTTTGGGCATAAAGGGTACCATATTTAGAAAAAGACCTTTGATATGTGATTAGATCAAACCATTATATCTATATCGTACTTATAGAACCATATCAACAAGAATCATCGAATTCTGAGGTTGTACGAGAGAGTTATACCCATTTCCTTGTCGGGAAAGATTGCTGGTTTGTGGTGTGAATTTTTGTTCTCGCGAAAGCTAGAGAGATCCCGCGAATGTGAAGAAGGAATTATGGGTTGATCGGTCAATACAAAAAATTTCTCTTTGCGAACGAGAGATGTCTCGCAAAGGCAAAGAACAAAAATCACATGGGCAGTGTTTTAAAATGGCAAACCGAGCATTTTAGTATTTTGAGCATATCTTGAGTTCGAGAGATCCGTTTGAGGTGATTTTTGCGGGTTGTTCTCGTCTAAATAAGGGGGTAAATATCTAACCTTTATTTTTATATTTTCCCTTGATTATTTTCGTTGCTTAGTATTTTTATCCATGTTTGAATTGTAGAAATTGGGATTTTAAGCCCCAAAGTAGAGAAATAGTAAATCCTTGATTTATGTGTCAATTCGAGGATGAAAGTGGATAATTTTTTGGATATAGACAATATAAGTTATGGATAATATTTATTTTTGATAATTTTCGAAAGCCAGGCACGCGGGCCTATGATTGATTTTTGTTGACTTTTCGTGCGAGGTTGAGAATTGTTTTTAAATGATAAATTTTAAGTTCTTGAGTATGTTTTGATTGGGTTGCATGTTGTTTGGCTAGTTTCGGATTGTTTGGCATTGTGAGGAGTTAGAAAGGCGTTGGAGCCGGTTATCAAATTTCGGAGCAAGGTAAGTCTCCTATCTAAACTTGTGAGGGGGAATTTATCCCGTAAGTATTATATTTGTTATGTGTTATATGTTATGGGAGCTACGCACGTATGAGGTGAGTATCCGTACGTAAGCTAGAATTCATGATTAGGTCCGGGTAAACTTAGACTCACGCCATGCTTTAATTACAACAATTGAGTTATCCTTACCTATTTAATTGCTTTAATTTATATTTAACCTGAGACTAGACTTGCGTAGAGTATCAGACTTGCTATTTTAGATATTTGACGAGCTACTTGATTAGCGGTGGAAAATTGTACTTCCCCTATGGATTTCTCCCGCGTTGTGCTTAATCATCGAAAAGTTTTCTAGAATTTCATAACTCACACGTATATTCGTGAGTGGGGTCAAGGACCCGTTAAAGTTTCATATTCTAATAGGATCTGGCCATTCTCCTCGGTAAGATTATTGTAATACACTCTTATGGGATCAGGCCGCTCGTCTCGACAGGATATTGTAACACACTCTTATGGGATCGAGTCGCTCGCCTCGGCAGAATCGTGCAAAATATTTGATAAGAATTCAGTGTACCCGTGAGTTTTTCTGACTTGAGATGTGACGTTTTATATGGTGTTGGCCATTATGTATTCCATTCGAGGTAGTATTCGATTATTAAGGACCTCGTGTTTATTCTTCTGTTAAAGATCGCATTATGCACTTATATATGTTTTGTTGTTTTACCTGCTATGCCTCATATCTGTTTACTTTCATTATACCTGATTTATTGGACCACTAGTAAGTGTCGATGTAGACCCGTCATTATTATTTCTCTGTGGTTAGGCTAGATACTTACTGGATATGCATTAATTTATGTACTCATGCTACACTTCTGCACTAATTGTGCAGGTGTTGAGACATGTATTTTTAGTGGTCATCTTGGCGCATAGACATAGTTGCTGAGGGAACTTTATGGTGAGTTACATTCTATTCTATGATCCGCAGCACACGGAGTCTCTATCATATTCATTTATTTTATCATGTCTATTTTACATTCCAGACAGATGTTGTATTAGTATTGTACTCCCTAATAGATGCTCATGTACTATAACACCAAATTTTGGGGATTTAGATTTTGCTCATGGTTGTATTCTATTATGATTTTGGGATTATATTTTGGCCACATTCGAATATTTAAAATAATAACATCTATACTTTTAATGAAAAGGAACAAACTTTCACTCTTTATTTCTTTAATTGTTTTGAAGTGTATTTT